GGGGGGTTTTGTAGTTTGGCTGGGAGGGTTTGGGGTTTGGGGTTTGGGGTTTGGGGTTTAGGGTTTAGGGTTTGGGGTTTGGGGTTTAGGGTTTGGGGAGGGGGAGGAGGGTTGGGAGGCGAGAGTTTGTTTTTGAGGGTTTAGGGTTTAGGGTTTAGGGCGTCTGTGGGGCGTGGGGTGAGGGCTGGGGTGTGGTGCCGGGTGTCGAGGGTTTAGGGTTTAGGGTTTAGGGTTTAGGGTTTAGGGTTTAGGGTTTAGGGTTTGCGCGCAGGGCGTAACTTGATGGTGATGAAGCTGCAGGAGCTGAACCCTCTGATGGCTTCGTTTGTGTCTGTGTCTCCTGCGCCCGTGAGCAGCAGCAGCAGCAGCAGCAGCAGCGGGGCGATGCTGGGCAGCTGCAGCCGCAGCAGCAGCAGCAGCAGCAGCAGCAGCACAGTGCTGAGCCGCAGCAACTCGCTGCTCATTGAGGCCTTTGCCCTCTGGGGCCGCCACGTGGCTTTTATTGAAGACTTAAATTCTGTTTTTAATCCGCAGCAGCAGCTGCGGCTTTTGATATCTTATTTGGACGAAACCATCGGCAGAATCGTCAAGGGTTCTCTCCGCCAGGCCTTCGCGGTGCCAAACCCTAAACCCTAAACCCTAAACCCTAAACCCTAGGCCCTCGCCGCGCCCGGGCCTCCAGCTGCGGCTGGGGCTGGGGGCGCCGACCCTCGCAGCAGCCCTTCGGAGCAGCAGCAGCCCGCGAGGCTGCTTCCCCAGATTAGGGTTTAGGGTTTAGGGTTTAGGGTTTAGGGTTTAGGGTTTAGGGTTTGGGGTTTGTGCGGCGCAGCGGAAGATGAAGGCGTGGGGCCGGACCACGAAGGACCTGGACGACCTCGAGAAGCTGTGGCTGAAAGTGTTCAAGTAATTCCCAAACCCTAATTCCAAAACCCCAAACCCTAATTCCAAAACCCCAAACCCTAATCCCCAAACCCCAAACCCTAATCCCGAAACCCCACCTCCCCGCAGCAGCAGCAGCAGCAGCAGCTTTAGCTGCTGCCCCTCCCTCCCCTCCTCG